CAATTGCCTCTGAAAATATATATTTAGCGACAATTAAGCTATTAATTGTCATTAAAGATCATTTTTACTGTAGTGATGACTCTTTATTTTGATAAACTTTTTTTTTTTTTTAAATAAAGAAGTAGGAACTCTTTCTTTTGGATTATTTCAATTAAATTTGTGAACTGTAAACTTGGATACAACTCGATACACTATCTTTTTGAAAAATATGTTAAGCAATATGCTTTTTTCTTCAAAGTAAGGTTGTCTTTATTATTATTTGTGGATATTTCTGAGTTCAAATGCTCACAAAATTATTCTATGAGATTTTAAGATGTTATGTGTCAAAATTTGATTTAGAATATCCAGTTGTGAACAGTTTCATTTAGACCAAAATAAGTTGGGGCCGGTGATATGAAACCTAAGCAATAGTAATGACTACTCTGAGACAATGAGGAAAAACATTTATGATAATAACAATTTTAGGGTCATTTTTAACATGTATATGATACGTCATACTTTAATAAAAACATATTGATTGAGGTTCATAAGAAAGGAGTTGAAGGTCTTCCATTTGAGTTTAGTTAATTATGTTGTATGGACGTGAAATTCCACTTACTTTTCGGAATTTAGCAAATTTTATTACTTTTGACCAACTATTTCTTTGGAGATTTTCTTAGACTTCTTTTTTACAATTAAAATCTCTCTATGACTCATAATTTTTCTATAACAAAAAATTAAAAAATATAGCATTTAAGATTTTGGAGGAACGCTTTGCCTTAACCTCAAATGTTTTTGACAATGTAGTGTTTGTATTGAGAATATGAATATTATTGAAAGATCATATGCAAGCTTAATGAAATAGTTCAATCCCGTGCAAAGCATGGGTAATTTACCTAGTATATATATATATATATATATATATATATATATATATACACACATTAAATAAACATAGTTAGAACCACTATGACTCCAACCATCACCATTCACCAACCAAAAGCTAATCAAACTTGTATTACTTTTGTATTTAAGAACTAATCAAACTTGTATTATTTCAATCACTCAAAAGCTAAAGTGTCCGGTAAGTTCTATTATTTTCTAACAGAAGAGAGTTAGAGTATGTTTGGATGGGCTTATAGCTTTTGACTTAAAAAGTTAAGAATTACACTTAGAAAATCATTGAGCGTAGTTTTATAACTCAAAAGTTACTCAACTATTTAGAAAGTCACCCAACTAATCTAAATGATTTTTTAATTAAATTTTGTTGAAATTGAAAATTTTATTTCAAGCTAAATTTCTAAGAAATAATAAGATGCCATTTTAACCATTTTAAAGAATTTTTTATTATCCATTTATATGCACACATAATTTGTTTTAATTATTATCATAATTATGGTATTCTTCTAATATAAATTTTTTATATTAGACGGTAGATTTAATAGTCTAAAAAAGTTCTTTCAGTAGAATTTCACCTAAGAATGTGAAGGAGGATATGTAATTGACAACTTAAAATTTGACAGAAAGTTAGTAGGTGTGCTTCTTGGAATTTGATTACTCCAAAGTTGTAGATTTTTCTTTGCTTAATTTGTGGTTCATTCATCTTTCACATCCGCCGGTGGATGATAACATTAATTAATTCATAGGTAAGTATTGAAGAAAGATCACACCTTTGAATATGCATTTATGATCCACAACAATAAATTTGACCCAAAAAACGAATTTTAAGATTATTTTTTAAAGAAAAATCAGTTTGTTAATGAAAAGGGTTAAATGTATATCATTTATTAGACAACGAGGGTGTATCTGTTTATATGCACCATTTGTTAGCCGATGGAGGTATTAGGTATATATGCATCACTTTTTAATGAGGAGTATATATGCTCTAAATCGCAAAATTGAGGGGTATATTTGTTTTTTGCCCTAAAATAAAAAATAAAAAAATAAATTAAATACTTTTTTTCACTTCAATTTGTTGAAAAGGTATGTGTGAGCCACTTTTATAACGGTAGAAATATATGTGAGCAACTTTTTCACTTCAATTTGCAGGATTCAAGTCCACTGCATTGCTGGGATGAGAATAAAAGCTTTTAATTTCATAGTTTGTGATGTTTCGTAAAGTGTTTGTTACATTTTATATGTTCCAGTTTTCTTCTGTTGTGACTCAACAAATTCAATTGCAAGGAAAAACAATAGAATTTCATAGAATGCAAAGAGATCAAAAGGGAAACTGGAATAACAGTAGAAAACTTGAGACGATTTGCGAGAAAACAGGAATAACAGTAGAAAACTTGAGACGATTTGCTAGAAAACTGGAATAACAATAGAAAGCACATTAAAAATACTAAAACAACTCCAAATTCTCGTGTACTTTGAAATAGAAAAAGTATTCCTCGATATTGATCAATATATAATAACTTGAATACAATAGAGTTAAAAAGTTGGGGAAACAACATAACCTTGAATACTAAGGTTTAAATCCTAGCAGTGGTGAAACCAGATATCACATTTCAGGATCTAACATTGCTTTTTCCCACCTCTCTGTGCCAACATAAATGCTTGAGAGTTGCACCATTTCCCAACTCAATAGCTCCACCAAGTCTACAAGCACCCAAGACGGTAGCATCAGCTTCAAAAAAAAAGGCATCTTCTTTATGAAGTCGTAAGCTTCCTGTAGTGGATCAACCACACAACCATAATATTTCATTGTAGTAGATCAAGTCCGAATTCATGTGACATTGCTTCAAACAATTAGAACCTGAATTCGACAAGCTTGGCACACGCACAAGCTGGAAGAAGTCATAGCATTCCATGTGCAAACCTGCTCCATCGCATCAAATACCTGTGTTACAGAAAATGGTTAAAAATACATGCAAAGCCTCGTACTATAAGGATAATATTTAGGACACTAATAGCAGAGCTCGAATCAAATTGATGATGATTTCTGCTTCTTTTCAGATAATAATAAGCTTCTTGCTTATGCAACATGTTGAAGTACTAGTTTCTAATTTTCCAACATAATATTTTCTTTACATTTGAATTGAGCTCCTTTTGAAACAGAATACGCAAGGCATAACTTATCCCTACAAAACCTATGTTATCTAAACTTTTGCCTTGTGAATTAGATACTACACAACTTATGCCGGACAAAGGAAAAAGTTCTCTTATGAAACTAGGTCATAGTTAAGGGTACTTTGACCCACAAACTTCCATTAAATGATAAGCAGGGGTAAAAATTAAAGTCCATTGATTGAGGGATAATAATTAAAGACCACCCCAAAATAAGGGCGATCACCAGAACTGCAGATCTAAACCAATTTACAAGACAAATTGTTAAAATAAACCGACATCAATTGCACAAAATTCTTAATGAAGAAACTCTTAAAATAGTGTGATATCGTTGTCTTTGGGCAATACATGCACAGTTTTCTTCCAAATGTCTCCAATCATTAAGAGTATCACTTCACTTTATACACATCTTCTTTTTCTTATTAACTTCTAATGCGAGACATTGTTCATATACCCAACCAACATAACATGAGGTATTCCGTTACGGTTATCATATGCAGCTCATACCTGCAGATTTATCACCAAAACAACACTCCGCTTCATCACTTCCTCCAGTTCCAAAATTGTGGAAATATGAATATGGAAAAGTAATTAACAGAATTTACTATCTTGTTCACTTTCAGTATTCCCTGGATACAAATTAATTCCCAAAGTAGACAAATAAGCTCAGCATAATTTCATTTGTATCAGAACAAATACATGTGTTATTACAAGTATTGGGACTTTCATTTGAATCTTTCTTGAATTGACTTGAGAATGTGATTTGACTTACAGTGCAATGACTTGAGAAAGATTAAATAGTCTTTACATATTGTGTGACACATTGAATGTGAATGTGTAATTTTAAATAGTCTAAAATTGACTGAAAATGACTGGGTGACCTTCCTGGAATTGATTACTCCAAAACAACACTTAAATGTGCCTAGCAAAATTTATTTTTATCTGGCTATTGTCGAATTCCAAATACTACTTCACATACATATCAGTTTATAATCAATTATGTATGGTTAAACATATTAGCACATATTGTATAGTTTTTGCTATTTTTAATAACTTGGCATATTTTTAATTCAAAGGAGATTCGGACTCAACTTCAACTTCTTCTGTACAATTTCAAGAAGAGTAAAACACATTGACATCTGAATTTACTTCGAAAATTTAAAAATGGCTTTCATACTTCGAAGAACTTGATCATGGGAAATAAATTAAGACATGGCATACACCTTCTTTTGCTTAAAAAAGTCGACACTACTTAAATAAAAGGATACTAATTATCAACTTGGGACAGAAAGTAAGACCTTAAAATCACAAGAAGTGCAAATCCAAACCAATTAATAAGACGAATTGTGAAAATAGACCGACATCAATTGCACAAAATTCTTAAAATGGTGTGATTTAGTCGGCTTTGGGAAAAACTTGCACAGTTTCCTCCTAAATGCCTCATATCTTCTTTTTCTTATCAACTTCTAATGTGAAACTTTGTTCATACATCCAACCGACATAACATCAAGGTATTCAGTCGCTGTTATCATATGCAGCTCATACCTGCAGATTTATCTACTTCATCACTTTCAGTATTCTTTGGATACAAATTAGTAATATTTTTATTTGTTGTTAAAAGTTGAATTTGCCAGAAAACACAAGGTGAAATGCTTACATGTGTATCCAGAGAGAAGTTGGAAAAAAAAGAAGAGAAACAGTTTCTGCTTTGGTTGTTTAGACAAAATGCATGTGTTATTACAAGTGTTGGGATTTTCATTTGAATTGACTTGAGAATGTGCCTTGAATTGTGTGACCTTCCTGGAATTGTGTTATTAAATGTGTATAATAAATTTCTTTGCTTAATTTATGCTATATATACCTCATCAAAATTGTTGAATATAGACACAGATCAAACATTTCTTGATTTCTTCTTTATCAACTTAATTAGTTTTGAACATTTTAGTGCAGAAATGAGCTACGTAAACCTTGTATTTTTTATGATATATCCCTTTCTCTTTCAACTTGTTTTGTCCTCATCCTCACCTCATTTATGCCCCAAAAATCAAGCTCTTTCTCTTCTACAATTCAAACACATGTTTACAATAGATCCTAATGTTTCTGATTATTGTATCGGCATAGGAGGCCAATGGATTCAGTCATATCCAAAAACTCTTTCATGGAACAAGAGCACAGATTGTTGCTCTTGGGATGGAGTTCATTGTGATGAGATGACAGGACAAGTGATTGAGCTCAACCTCACTTGCAGCAAACTTCAAGGCAAGTTTCATTTCAATAGTAGCCTCTTTCAACTCTCCAATCTCAAAAGGCTTGATTTGTCTTATAATGATTTTTCTGGGTCGCTCATTTCACCTAAATTTGGTGAGTTTTCTAATTTGACGCATCTTGATTTGCTTCTTACAAGTTTTACAGGTCTAATCCCAGCAGAAATCTCTCACCTTTCTAAATTACGGGTTCTTCGTATCCGGAGTGATTATGGGGTTAGATTCGGACCTAACAATTTTGAATTGTTCTTGAAAAACTTGACCCAATTAAGAGAGCTCGACCTTAACTTTGTGAACATCTCTTCCACCTTTCCTCTAAATTTCTCTTCTTATTTAACAACTCTATGGCTTCCATACACACAGTTACGTGGGATATTGCCCAAAAGGGTTTTCCACCTTTCCAACTTAGAATCTCTGGATTTAACAAACAATCCCCAGCTCACAGTTAGATTTCCCACGACCAAATGGAATACCAGTGCATCACTCATGGAGTTATATCTGAGTGGTGTGAATTTCATTGGTAAGATACCTGAATTATTTAGCCATCTAACTTCATTGGTTGACTTAGTGATGAGTTCTTCCAATCTCTCGGGGCCCATTCTTAATCCTTTATGGAATCTCACCAACATAGAGGTTTTGGACCTTCATAATAATCATCTTGAAGGACCAATTTCTCCGTTCTTGAGATTTGGAAAGCTCAGGGAGCTCTCACTTAGAAATAACAACTTTGATCTCCAACTTGAGTACTTACCCTTTAACAGAAGCTGGACACAACTTGAAACGTTAGACTTTTCGTCCAATTACCTAACTGGTCCAATTCCATCGGGCGTTAGTGGACTGCAAAACCTACAATCACTCAGCTTGTCATCAAACTACTTAAACGGGACTATACCATCCTGGATATTCTCCCTCCCTTCACTATTTGATTTAGACTTGAGTGATAACCATTTCAGTGGAAAGATTCAGGAGTTCAAATCCCAAACATTGTTTTCCATTTCTGTAAAACAAAATCAGCTGGAAGGTCCTATTCCAAAGTCATTCCTAAACCAGCAGGGACTGTATTATCTTATTCTTTCTCAAAATAATCTCAGTGGACATATTGATTCAGCCATCTGCGATCTGAATTTGGGTGTGCTAAATTTGGGAAGTTGTAATTTGGACGGAACAATACCACAATGTTTGGGTGAGATGAGTGAACTTTGGGTTTTGGATTTAAGCAACAACAGTCTTAGTGGGACAATTAATACAACTTTTAGTAATGGGAACCAACTCAGAGTCATTAAAATGGATGGGAATAAGCTAGAGGGGAAAGTCCCACGATCTTTGATCAATTGCAAATATTTGCAACTCTTTGATTTAGGTAATAATGAGTTGAATGACACATTTCCAAAATGGTTGGGAGCCCTACCTGATTTGCAGATTTTAAACTTGAGATCAAATAAGCTGCATGGCCCTATAAATGATTCAAGGACTGAGAACTTGTTTGCTAAAATTCTAGTAATAGATCTCTCATCCAATGGATTCAGTGGAGATTTACCTGTGAGCCTTTTTGAGAATTTTCAAGCCATGAAAATGATTGGTGAGAATAGTGGAACCCCAGAGTATGTAGCAGAAACATATTCTACTTTATACACAAATTCTTTGATAGTGACAACAAAGGGACTGGATCTTGAACTTCCTCAAGTTTTGACTACGGACATAATTATCGATCTCTCAATGAATAGATTTGAAGGTTCTATCCCAAGTATTATTGGAGATCTAATTGGACTTCGTACGTTGAACTTGTCTCATAATAACTTGAAAGGTCATATACCAGCATCAATGCAACATTTATCTGTACTTGAATCATTGGATCTCTCATCCAACAAAATCGGCGGAGAAATTCCACAACAACTTGCATCCCTCACATCACTTGAAGTCCTAAATCTCTCTCACAATCATCTTGTTGGATGCATTCCGAAAGGAAAACAATTTGATACGTTTGAGAATAGTTCATACCAAGGGAATGATGGGTTACGTGGATTGCCACTCTCAAAAGATTGTGGCAGTGATGAAGGGGTACCACAAGCAACAACTCCATTTGGGCTAGATCAAGAAGAAGAAGAAGAAGAAGAAGATGGAGATTCATCAATGATAAGTTGGCAGGCGGTTCTCATGGGTTACAGTTGTGGACTTGTTATTGGACTGTCCGTAATATACATAATGTTGTCAACTCGATATCCAGTGTGGTTTTCGAGGATGGATGTAGAATTGGAACACAAAATTCTTACAAGAATGAAGAAATACAAAAAAGGATATGTAACCTCCAGGTATTAACTTGATCATTTTCCTTCAAAAGATTAATTTTTATATAGCAATGAATTTTCTATTTCCTTCATCCTTGAAGATCTTGACTTTTAGTCTTCTTTTTTAAAAATTGCAGGATTCAAGCCTAATATGTTGCGGTGAAGCAAATATAAGCCTTTACCATTCATAATCGGTGATGCTTATGTAGTGTTGGTATCCTATGAATAAAGACATGATTTTTCTTCCTTTGGGACTCATCCATATTTGTTTTCTTTTCATCTTCTTTTTTATTGTTTATTACATGGAGACTGTTAGCTTGAGTTCATCCTAGCTATTAGTTGAGTTATTGGTCTCACCCGCAAGTCAGTTCATAAAATTTATGAAGTTATTATCTTATCTTTTTCGTAATTACATTGTTAGAGTGGGTAGAAGTCCTTCAAGCTCTTATCGCAGGCACTTGAAGCCCCATTGATTTCTATTTCTCTGAACTATGTCACATGACATCATCACACAAACATTGAACACCTCACTTTAAGTTCACAAAAATAAAAATCTGTAGTTACTAGCTACAGTGTTCAAATATAATTGTGTACAGACTCATGATCGTTTTTCATCAAAAGGTTGAAGAAACATCAGGAAACCATGGACCAAAGTTGCAGTCTGCTATCTTAGCAGTTAAAAAGTTGGAGAAACAACCTCGGAAACCAAAGTTAGAATCCTAGAAGAGGTGATACTGGAAGAACTCTTCCCTAAGTCTCGGATGGTAAGGTTATCCAATATGGTGGAAGGTAGACGGTACCGATTGAATTAATCGAGCAGAACACAAGCTGACCTGGATATCCCTATTATACAACTACGCCTCAGTCCCTAACAATAACTTGCATAGAGATACATGCAATAGTGTTTAAAGCCTAAACTAAGATTAGACATGAACACACAATTGAATGATAGAATTGCTAATGATTGAAACCCATATGGATTTGACACTTCACTCAGGAAGGAAATAAACAGAACAACTTGCCTTTAAACAATGTTTTTCATGATCATCTATTGTTCAGATTAATTAACTAGCAAACCGCTCCATCACTTCTCAGGGTAAATAAAAAGATTCAGAAAAATGATGAGAAAACAAAAAGAATTACCTAGCCAAGCAGACTTTGGAACCAGGTTTGCTGTGCATTTTCACAAAAAATGTATCCTCCTTGATCTGTCAAGCTATGACATCAGCTTTCTTTAAGCAGTGCTTCAATCTCTGTGCAAAACCAATATGAAGGACCCTTTTAGCTGATTTTGATGAGTCCAGATTTCACCACCAAGCAGGCTCATCGACAATTTTGCAAATAAAAGCTGCTACAGTTATCAGCTATATTAAATAAAACTGTGGGCCAGAACCTTCTGTATTCCAGCATCTAACATTGCTTTTCTTAAGGAAACAGTGGGATTCCACCTCTCTGCGCCAGCATAAATGCTTGAGAGTGCACATATCGCCCTGAATGATTCGGTTGCGATTTAAGCAATAGTTGAGCTACTCCGTTTCCCAACTCAATGGCTCCATGAAGTCTACATGCACCCATCAGAGCCCCAAGACAGTAGCATCAGCTTCAAAAGGCATCTTCTTCATGAAGCCATAATGTTGCATCTTAGCTACAACTCCGAATTCACATGACACTGATTCAACCAATTGAAAACCGAAATTGACAAGCCTGGTACTCACACAAGCTGATAGAACTGCCATGAAGGTAACTCATGTGGTTGCAGCCCATTTGCTTCTCCCTACCATTCAAAGCTAGGAAAGAAATCATAGCATTCCAATGCAAACCTGCTTGCTAACCATCACATTAAATACCTTCAAAGCATATACCAAACAACCCATCTTCCCATAAAATGCGATCAACGCAGTTGTCATGAAGACACTCAACCCCTCATTCCTTACCATGTACTTGCCTCCCTAGATATAACGCCACACCAAAATCCAAAAACGTGCAAGAAGAAAACTACTAACAAAAGTAGCCTCATTTGGCTTCAATAAACCACACTTCACATCCTGTTGTACCATAATATTCTCGAAAAAACTACAGCAACCTCAGAGCACCCGTTCTTCATGTACCCATGAATCATACTAGTCCATGAATAAACATCTCTATAAGGCATGCGAGAAAACATCAAAAACCCAAGCTCATATCCCCATTTTCCCCACAAGCACCAAGCATCACATTATACGAGACAACACATGGTTCAGGAATTTCATCAAACACCTTGCATGCACTCCCGATACCCGAGTTTGCCTGTGTGGTGTACAGCCCAATAAAAGATGTACACACATAAGCAATTTATTTTGTTAAGTGGTGAATGAAATTTTAGCTAATAGAATGAAGTAAGCGGCAGATACATGGGATAATACTTTGGGATTAACATAGTTGAACTACTGTGACTCCAACCATCACCATTCACCAAACATTAACTACTATGCAAACAAATAGGATCACAAATATGAGCTAAAGTTGATTTCTTTTATCATCTATCAAAGTCCTTTCTTGCATTTGCCAAGGTGAAATGCTTACATGTACATTGCTGCTATTATTGTTGTATTTAAGAGCTAATCAAACTTGAATTTTTGACTTAGAAATGTTGGTGACGTGGTCTCTATACACCAGTTAATTTTCTAGCAATAGTAAATTGTCTTTTGAATTGTGCTATATAAACCTCATCAAAATTATGCTATCTCCTGTATTCAGATTAGCAAATCAGAAATAATAAAAGATGAAAAGAAAAACACAAAGAACTATCCGAGTCCACAAAATCCACTGTGTGTCCTTAAGAAATTTAATCCCCTCAAGTATCCGAGGTTGTAGATTAATTTCTCCTAAGATAAAATGGATTAACCATTAAAGAAGTAGTGGTACCTCAAACTTCGATAATTTCAACGAACTCAAAATGACAGCAATGAATCACACACAGAGACACGATCGATCGATTTTGTTTTGTAAGAAATGTATGCAAAAGAAGAGAAGAATTCGATGCAGAAAATGAGAGAAAACCCTTATATTTATAGCCAACAAAGGGTAAAGGTCATAACCCTTTGGAAAGAATACAACCTGTCAAAAAGAAAACAGTCTTTCAAAAGGTCACAACACTTTGGAAAATGCATAACCTTTCAAACAGTCACAATCCTTTAGAAAGGACACAACCTTTCATAAAGGTCACAACCCTTCGGCATAGTTACAACTCTTTAGGAGAGTCACAACCCTTCTTTTCCTGTTCACACCTTTAAAACCCAACAATCCCCCACATGAATAGGGAATGGCTATTATTTAAACATATGCATGAAAAACTGTTTGATTCGTAATTAAGGATTGATTGCCTCTGGATAAGTGGGTTTCCCTTTGAACTTTCCATAGTGAACATATATTGGATATACTCGGTCAATCGATAGATTTGATATTTTTGAACCGTCGAGCTTTGCTGTATACCTAGACAACATCAGTCACACAATCAACCCTTGAACTATTTTTGGTTCTCATTGTTTTGTTCGTTTCAGCTATGAACACGTCTCGGTTTATAAGTGCGTAGAGAACTGGCCTTACCGAATTCTCCTTGAAGCGGCTTACACTTCACACTTACATAAGTGATTTCTAAATGTGTTATCCCGTAGATACACCATTTGATATACCAAGTATCAAACTTAGAAATCATTAAAAAGTCCTAATGTCTTTATCCTTGTTACTGAACATTGTCTTATCATGAGAATGGACCATAAAAAATATTTTGACAATGATGAACCGTCATCAATGACTTTGTTTGATCTCCTTGAACCTAGATCTTGGATCTTCAGTCTTCTAGGTAGAGTTACCGCCACAATGACTTGTTCTCGGCCATAGTCCCATTCCCTTTGATAATCTATCAACTCTCTCTCTAGTTAGGCCTTTTATAAGTGGATCCGACACATTATCCTTTGATTTTACATAGTCAATTATGATAATTCCACTAGAGAGTAGTTCTCTAATGATATTATGTCTACGCCATATATGACGAGACTTTCCGTTATATATCATGCGCCATGCCTTACCTATTGCAAATTAACTCTCACAGTGTATGCATACTGGAGCTAAAAGGTTTGGGCCAAAAATATTTCAAGAAATTTTGGAGTCATTCAACTTCTTCACTGGCCTTATCTAGAGTGATAAACTTAGATTTCATAGTAGAGCGAGCGATACATTTTTGTTTGGAAGATTTCCAAGAGACTGTTCCTCCACCAAGAGTAAATACAAATTCACTTGTGAATTTTACTTCATTTGACCTGGTGATTCAATTTGAATCACTATATTCTTCCAATACTGTTGAATATTAGTTATAATGCAAAGCAATAATTTTTAAGTATGTTTTAAATACTCCAAAACTCTTTTCATTGTCATCTAATGAGTTTAATTGAGATTACTCGTGAACCGACTCAGTTTACTAATAGCACATGCTATATCTGATCGTGTAGACTTTATGATATATATCATACTTCTCAATACAAATACTTGAACGTGTTAAGTACCTTCTCAATCACATCAGTAACGTTAATGTCTTTCATATCGAAGTTACTTTCTAGCATATGCTTAGTAGCATTTACATCAGAAATGTCTCTTTTGATGATCAACATGTCATCAACATAAAAACAAACAATGACCTTGTGATTTGGAGTGTCTTTAATGTAAAAGCATTTATCACATTCATTAATCTTGAATTCATTTGCCGACATAGTTTGGTCAAACTTCACATGTCATTATTTGGGCTTGTTTTTAGTCCACAAAGTGACTTAACAAGTTTACAGACTTTCTTTTCTTTACTAGGAAGTAGGAACCACAAACCCTCGAATTGTTCCATGTAAATTTCTTCCTCCAATTTTCCATTTTAAAAAATGTTTTCACATCTATTTTAATGAATTTGAAGGCCATATTTCACAACTAGCGCAATTAACATCTGAATTGATGCAATCCTAGTTAGTGCTATTATATGTCAAACAAGGCTTTCTTATTGCCTAAAGCCTATGACAACAAGTCTGTCTTTGTATTTGTCAATAGTTTCATCAACTTTCTTTTCCTTTTGTAGATCCACTTTGAATCCAAAAGTTTATTTCCTGGAGGAAGATCAACCAACTCTCAAGTATGGGTTGCTCAAGATTGAATCTATCTTACTATTGACAGACTTTTCTCAAAGAGAATGAGTCCACAAAGGACATAACTTTTAGAATAAATGAGACTTATTTTCAAGAAGAAATGTTACAAAATCAAACTCGTAGGAAGTAATTTGTCCATTGACATTTACTACGCCTCCGAATATCTTTATTAAGTACATTCTCCTTTGGTTCTTTCCAAGGTCGTTTAGACCCTTCACTTGACTATCCGACGGTTCGGACTTATGAACCATAAATCGACATGCTTTACCATTTGTAGCATATCCAATGAACATACAATAAAAGACCTTCTGTGAGGTAACATTTTCCCACAAATATTTTGTTCTTTACTTTTTATAAATTTCTCCAATACAGACATTGGTTTAGTGTCAACACCTTGTCATATGTCCTTTTTAGAGGACCTTTCCATAACATTCAATTTGTTATAGAATTACCCATGATCATAGTCTCATCGGTCCAATAAGCGCAATATGACCCAAATGTTTGTTTTACAAAACAAACATAACAGATCATTTTTCACCAATGTTCATGTCTATACAAAAAAAAAATTATTTTAATAGACATATCTTTTCATGAAAAATCACAATATTTTAAGTGAAACTTTTTCATCAAAAAATACAATTCTTTTGAACGAGTAATATAGTTTTGTGGTTTTATACTAGTCAATAGAGACTCAACGTCCACAATATCAAATATACTCCAAGAATTTTGTGGGTCTAATATAATACAAGTATGTCATTAAATTTCATATCTTGTACTTTCAAATTTAAATTAGATAGTAAGTCTAATTTTGTCTTTATTACAAGTAAAGAGCCCCCCACATTTTCAATATGTTCTCAAAAATATTTTTCAAGTATTTCAAATTATTTTCCACATATTTTTTCTCATGCTTACACATTGGCAACACGAAGCCTTCTTTTGGAGATTTAATCCATATAAACACCCATTGCAGGCACAAAAACCACTAATTTTATGTCACTAGTATTTATTTTTTTTCCTTTTTGTCACAACTAGACAAACCACTTAGTATTTAGAATACTAACAATAAAGATTCAATCTTTATACAACTTGTTTCTAGTTTAACGATGAAGTTTTTATATTCTTCTAATCGTTAACCGACTGAACCTTGAATTCTAATGAAGTTTTAATATTCTTTGAATCAGTTTCACATTCAAACAAAGTAGTAAACCAAAAAGGTTTTAATCTCCAGAAACCTTAAATACAACACTGTTTCGAGCTAATGATGAAGATTTTATTTTTTTCAATCATTTAGCCTTAATTTCCTGACAAAGATTTTGTACTCTTCAAGTCAAAATATTCATTCAAACAGAGTATTTAACAAATTGGTAAAGTTTCTATATTCTTCAAACCAATGCACAATCTGATTTGTTCGTGAAGTTCTTATATTCTTCAAATCAAAGGAGAAAAAAAAATCTCCAAAAGTCAAACACAATCAAATTTCACATAGAGTAGAAAACTACAAAAGTTTTATTTTTCCTCCTCTAAACAGAATACATATTAATAATAATAAAGATATATTATGAGATCATCACATAATGATCATCTATCCTAACATTTATGAAATAAATTTCATAACTTATAAAGGATAGAAAAAGAAAATAATAATCAAGGAAAATAAAGATAGAACCTGATTTTTACTCTCATTGAATCATATTCTATCTGTCAACAATAATTCCATGCAAGTCACTTTTCTTGCTAATTTTTTTTTTCTTTTCTCAGTTTCCATCACATTCCTATTTTCCTCAAGAAGACATTTAATTTCAACAAGAAACTAAACTCATGTTCAAATATTGTTAGGAGACAACATTTATTCATTTACTTCTTCTCATAGTTATATAAAACCAAGAATATAGGGAAAACATTAAAGTGTTCATCTTAGCCTTTATGCACAAAATAACTTTTCTCATTGAAAAGAAAACTGAAGGGGTGCAATGCTTGAATGCACTTGGGAAGAAAATAAAAATAATCTTACCCATCCAAGGAAAACTTACTACAAAAAATATACTCGAACATATTAAAGTAGTACTAATTCATCCCAAATCTCTTTTATCATTTGATAAAATAATTCTCTTTTTCTTCTTTTTCTCTCCCCATAAAAAGAACACAGAAAATAGAAATAATTTCCTTACCATAGAAAATACCAGGATTAAATTTCTTAAGCTTGTTATCTCCTGTATTCACATTAGAAAACTAGAAATAATAAAACATGAAAAGAAAAACACAAAGAACTATCCGAGTCCACAAAACCCACTGTGTGTCCTTAAGAAATTTAATCCCCTCAACTACCCGAGGTTGCAGATTAATTTCTCCTAAGATAAAATGGATTAACCATTAAAGAAGTAGTGGTACCTCAAACTTCGACAATTTCAACGAACTCAAAATGACAGCAACGAATCACACACACAGACACGATCGATCGATTTTGTTTTGTAAGAAATGTATGCAAAAGAAGGGAAGAATTCGATGCAGAAAAATGAGAGAAAACCTCTCTATTTATAGCCAACAAAGGGTAAAGGTCATAACCTTTGGAAATAAAACAACCTTTCAAAAAGAAAACAGTCTTTCAGAAAGGTCACAACACTTTGGAAAAGGCATAACCTTTCAAACAGTCACAACCCCTTAGAAAGGACACAATCTTTCATAAAGGTCACAACCCTTCGGCATAGTTACAACTCTTTAGGAGAGTCACAACCCTTCATTTCCTGTTCACACCTTTAAAACCCAACAAATTATTGAATAGAGACACAAAGCAAGAATTGGAAAACTTAATACTTTTGATATATATTTTGAGGCGCGAAAATGGGCATTGGAAAACTTGCATTGTTTCTGCTATACGCATTTCTCTGTCAACTTGTTTTCTCCTCATCTTTACCTCATTTGTGCCCCAATGATCAAGCCCTTGCTCTTCTTCAATTCAACAACACGTTTACTATAAATTTTGATGCTTCTTCTAGTGATTACGATCCTAAAACAGTTAAATGGAATAGGAGCACAGATTGTTGTTCATGGGATGGAGTCAAGTGTGACGAGACGACAGGACAAGTGATTGAGCTTGATCTCAGTAGCAGCCAACTTCGAGGCAAGTTTCATTCCAACAGTAGCCTCTTTAAACTATCCAATCTCAAAAAGCTTGATTTGTCTTATAATGATTTTTCTGGATCGCTCATTTCACCTAAATTTGGTGAGCTTTCTAGTTTGACGCATCTTGATTTGTCGTATTCAAGTTTTACAGGCCTAATCCCAGCAGAAATCTCTCATCTTTCTAAATTACAAGTTCTTAGTATATAGAGTAGTCTATTAAGATTCGAAACCCACAATTTTGAACTGCTCCTTAAGAACTTGACCCGATTAAGAGAGCTCCACCTTAGATCTGTGAATATCTCTTCCACCATTCCTTTGAATTTCTCTTCTTATTTAACTAATCTAGAACTTTCAAACACGTAGATATACGGGATATTGCCCGAAGGAGTTTTCCACCTTTCCAACTTGGAATCTCTTGATTTATCGGGCAATCCCCAGCTCACTGTTAGGTTTCCCACATCCAAATGGAATAGCAGTGCATCACTAACGAAGTTAAATATCAGTAGTGTGAATGCTACTGGTAGGATACCTGAATCATTTGGTCATCTAACTTCACTGCGTACATTGAGAATAGCTTCTTGTAATCTCTTAGGCTCTATTCCTAAACCTCTACGGAATCTCACCAACATAGAGGAATTGTTCCTTGGAGATAACCATCTTGAAGGATCAATTTCTGATTTCTTTAGATTTGGAAAGCTCAGGTCGTTATCACTTAGAAATAACAACTTTGATGGCCAACTTGAGTTTTTATCCTTTAGCAGATGTCGCAACTGGAATCATTAGTGTTTTCATTCAATTTCCTAACTGGTCCGATTCCTTCTAATGTAAGTGGTATGCAAAACCTACAACGTCTTTACTTGTCATCAAACCTCTTGAATGGGACTATACCTTCCTGGATATTCTCCCTCCCTTCACCTAAATGGTTAGACTTGAGTGATAACCATTTCAGTGGAAACATTTAGGAGTTCAAGTCTAAAACATTAGATCGAGTTGTTGTAAGACAAAATCACCTGCAAGGTCCTATTCCAAAGTCACTCCTAAACCAGCGTGATCTATATTATCTTCTCCTTTCGTACACTAATCTCAGTGGACAGATTGCTTCAACCATCTGCAATCTGAAAACATTACGAATGTTATATTTGGGCAGCAATAATTTGGGGGGAACAATCCCACTATGTTTGGGTGAAATGAGTGAACGTTTAGTTTTAGATTTAAGCAACAATAGTCTTAGCGGGACAATTAATACAACTTTTAGTATAGGAAACCAACTTGAGGTCATTAAACTTGACGGGAATAAGCTAGAGGGGAAATTCCCGCAATCTTTGATCAATTGCAAATATTTAGAAGTTCTTGATTTAGGTAAAAATGAATTGAAAGACACATTTCCTAAATGGTCGGGAGCCCTACCTTATTTGAAGATTTTGAACTTGAGATCAAATAAGTTCTATGGCCCCATAAAAGATTCAAGGACTGACAACTTGTTTGCTCAAATTATAGTCATAGATCTCTCATCCAATAGATTTAGTGGAGATTTACCGGTGAGCCTTTTTGAGAATCTTGAAGCCATGAAAATAATTGGTGAGAATAGTGGAACCCGAGAGTATGTAGGTGCTATAAATTCTTATTATTACACAAATTCCTTGATAGTGACAACAAAGGGACTGGTGCTTGAACTTCCTCAAGTTTTAACTACAAACATAATCATAAATCTCTCTAACAACAGATTTGAAGGTCATATCCCAAGCATTATTGGAGATCTCGTTGGGCTTCGCACGCTGAACTTATCTCATAATCGCTTGGAAGGTGATATACCTGCATCACTGCACCAATTATATGTACTTGAATCATTGGATCTCTCATCAAACAAAATCAGCGGAGGAATTCCACAACAACTTGCATCCCTCACATTTCTTGCAGTCTAAAATCTCTCTCACAATCATCTTGTTGGATGCATCCCCAAAGGAAAACAATTTGATACGTTTGAGCATAGTTCATACCAAGGGAATGATGGGTTACGTGGATCGCCACTCTCAAATGATTGTGGTGGTGGTGATGGGGTACCACAAGCAACAACTCCATTTGGGCTAGATCAAGAAGAAGAAGAAGAATTAAGGAGATTCAACAATTATAAGTTTGAAAGCAGTTCTCATGGGTTATGGTTGTGGACTTGTTATTGGACTGTCCATAATATACATAATGTTGTCAACTCAATATCCAGAATGGTTTTCGAGGATGGATGTAAAATTGGAACACATAATTATTACAAGAATGAAAAAGCACAAGAAAAGATATTAGTTTGTTACCTTCAGGTATTCAATTTGATATTTAATTATCAATGAATTTGCTCACCTCCTTCATCCTTAAAGCTCTTAACTTTAAATTCTTTCTTTTATGAAAATTGCAGGATATCCACAAAATCTGATTCCGATACAAGATATATACAGAAGGTGGAAATGCAATTGAGGCACATTAACGACTTGACGGGAAGCCACGAGAATATTTCAACGAATCTGAGAGAAGCTCATCACCCAATAGAGTATCCTGATAAGCCAACATGTTTGAAGAACTTGCTTAACAAAAACAAAGTACCGAAGGAGAAATCAGAGGCCACGAGAAACAAATCATCAGTTGAACAAAGTAGATTGGCATAATATCGACTTATGTACTTATGTACTAGTAATGATATATTATACAGAGAGAGTAGTTGAAGTTTGATTCTGGATTGTTTGTTGTTATAAGAAAAAAAATTGAATACCAACTTTGTCAATGAACCAACTGGGCGTTTCATTTTAAATTACAACGGGACTATCGTTGTGAATCAGATACATATGCAGAACTCAATTGCAAGCGATCATATTCTTAATAGTAATCGAGATGGAAGTTTGATGTCACTACAGGGCAGTGGTATCAGCTGAACTGCTCTTATTGGTTATGAAGAAAGTAGACAGAATCAGTTTCAACATTTACACATCAACACTCATTTTCAGTCATATGACTCGAGATGATGAAAGTGAACTTAACGTTACATTGATTCAAAAAGAGTCTAACAGATGATGGTTCAAGAGAGAGGTTCTAATCTTTGAACGTAACGTAGAGAATGTTGGTTCAGTTCTAATAGATCTATTGAATGCCCACCCCTAATTTTAACTGTTCTAATAGATCTATAAAAAAAAACTAAGGACTCACGTGCAACACACGTGTCCAGGAACTAGTTGATTTAAAACTCGAATAGTCTATATCGTTGAAATTTAGAAGTCATTCTCGTCTTTATTGATAAGTAGCAAATTTGAATTGTCAAAATTGAACATATGAGGTTTTAAGGGAATAACTCAGTTTCCAAGAGTAGACTATAAAACAGGAGATACCCTCATTCACTTCATCATTTCAATTCAATTTTTTTAGAGAATATTTTGGTATCCAAAAAGAGGCATTCGAACCAGTAAGGGAAACCCTATTGTGCTTCTTCATTCAATCTAATTATTAAGTGAATAATTCAACGTCCAAGAGAATATAAACACGACGAAGAGGATACTGATTCACTTTCTCATTTTATTCAATTTATTTTTGCTCATTAAGTCTCGTACTAAAGTACTCAAATTATGCGAAGGTGAGTTTGATTCTATTCAAATCTCATTTTCTCATTTAATCTATTTTCTTGGTTCTGAATTTACGAACCATCTCTAACTGATATGTGGTTCTTCTTCGTTTAGCATTGTTTGTACTCACTTTTTTATTTTTCTTGAATTTGTGATAAAATTGATTTTTCCTATGTTAAGTCCTAAATTTTGATTGTTTTTTGTCTTATGAGGTTGTTTATTCCACAACTTTGTATGAGTATATCTCAATCTAATTATGTTTGATTAAAGTAAAACATCATGATGATTAAAAAAAAATTCTTCCTTTGTTCAGTATGATTGAATTACTAAAGAATGAGAAAAAAAGATGCAAATAAGAACCAGAAATTTGAAGAATCTAGAGTGTACATAGTTAATTAATTTTACATCGTATCATTGTCTTATATTAATTATTTTTAAATTGGAATTTTTTTTTTGGCCAGAATGATATTTTATCTATGTTATTTTACCTTTTTAAACATTTTTACCCTTTTAACTTTAATACTTTTTAACTAAAAATGGAAAAAACATCTATTTATTTTAAAATGAGAAAATAGTCAAATGCCCCCCTAAACTATTAGTCAATTCTCAACTACACACTTATACTTCACGGGGGTCCTATTACCCCCCTGAACTTTTTATTTTCGATATTTTGTGACCCCTAAACGCTAACTTGTCCAAGAAGGTGAATACACCTCTTGTAGGCGCGTAAGGGTTCAACAAAAAGACATAAAATGACTAAAATTGAACTAAATAATCCATGTGGCGGTATCTCATTGGAGATTATATAAGTAATTCAATTTTTTTTTTTAATTCTTTCCCTTTTCTTATATCACAAAATTGTTATACCCATTTCATGATTTCTTCAAGTTTTTCTCAAAGTCCTTCAATGGTGGCCGTCATCTAAATTTCATCTCTAGGAGCTCCAAATCAGTTTATAGCTATTGATTTATGCTTAGTTAATCATATATCAACTGTTTTTAGTAACAACGTCAATCACCTAACTCATAAGAAACTTTCATATATGAAGCTCAAAAATGGAGTTCAAGTTTTTTCTTAATTCCCTCATAATTTCAGCAAAATAAATAAATAAAAAGAAGTCAAACCACAATGAACCAACAATGGTGAATTTGAAATTTCACTTTCTAATTTCATTCTTACCAAATTTGTTTTCACTCCCACATTTGTGAATACTTATTTGGGAAATTTTGTTTTTGGGTTGGATTTCAAATTGAAAGTTTATGTAGACTAGCTATGGAGTTGTTCTTCTTCTTTAATTTGGTGTAGAGATTTTTTCATCATTTTCTCTTATTATTCTCTAAAGAAATCATTAGTATTTTGGAAAAACAATCTCTATTTGAAAGCATTTTTTGTAAATTTCAATTTCTAGGATGGATACTTCATATAATTTTACAGGAGATTATTAAATTATTAGTTTGATTAGGCTTATAATTTACAAGGAAAAAAGAAAAGAATAAAAAAATGAATGTACAGTGATTCATCGCGTGTGCTGCACAACTTTGACATAAAACTGGTTATGCCTTTTTAGGGAGGTGATTATTCCATATTTAAATAGTTCAGGGGGTAATGGGACCCCCGTATAGAATAAGTGTGTAGTTGAAAATTGACTAATAGGTTGAGGGGGCTTTTGACTATTTTCTCTTTTAAAATTAAAAAAATATTATAGTTTTTTGTAATTTTTTGGCCATTTAGCACTTCCCAATTAATAATTGTCATCTTTCACATTTTCAACGTTATCAATTCGTCCTTTGAATTTCTATTATTACAATAACATTTGTGCATATCTTTAATTTTCACTTTACAGAAGTAATACCAAAATGTGAAGTCATTTGATTTTTTTCCTTTTTCTCTACAACAATTTACTTTTTTTCTTTGTTGTATTTTGCTCACCTCTCTACAAATTTGTGTGACAATGGATATAGGATACATGTGCGAAGCACGTGCCCAAAGACTAGTCAAATATATTATGTTTGAGAGATAAGAAAACAAAAGGAAAAGAAAAATGGCTTTTAAGTTATGGTGAAAAATAAACAAGCTTCCATTAATCTTATTAATTATAATCTTCCAAAATTAATTAGAGATGATCCATAAATTGAAAATAAAGAAAAAAAGGGACATAATTAATTAGATAAACAGAAGATATGAAAA